ACCTTAAAAATTCCTAGCAAAGTTCATCATAGCGTTTATTTTATTCCACTCATTTCAAACGTATTTTACAATCATGAAATTCTTCCCTGATTGAGAAAAACAGCAGTTGCGAAAAAGAGAATAGTATCATCAGCACGCGTATTTACAAATTGCAACCGAGCTCCGCCGTGGGGTAAGGTGGGCAGGGGTTTTCGCACTACGGCTGCGGTTGAACTACCGTCTGTGGTAGAAACTTCAGGATGATGGCGCGTTTCATACGAAATCTGGCGCAATGTTTATTTGCTTCTGAACTTGTATTGTTATTGCTGTGAACTCTTGAAGTTGGGGTGTTTCAATTACAGTTTGTGGATTATTTGGGTTTCTTGATATAAAAATCGAATAATATTATGAAACATTGTGTGGAAACTGCAAATACTGATATAATCAATTGCTTAGTTTGGGAATTGATACACATTTTGTAGAGGTTTGTCTGGCAAATCGTGTAACAAACTTCAAGCCTATCATGATCTGAAGCTGTTGTAACAAATCAAAATTGCTTTGATGTTCCATAGTACCTTGTTGGAAAGACTGGAGCATGGTTCAAGATGATGTGTAAAAATTCAAGATTTGTGCAAAAGCTTACGACTGAAGAGTGAAAACAGTTCTATATGATGGCTCAATCAAATGTGGAAATGGACGACAAAAGTAGAGTTTCAACATTCGAGCATGTGAGAATAACTTCAGAACTTCATAGTTCTTGTAGCATTGCATTCTTCTTTTGTACAGTTCTAGGTTTTGCTAGGGTATTTCAATTTCAATGTGTCAGTTGAGATATATGTGGATTGCGGACAAAATTTAGAATCATTGCATGGTAGATATGTACTTGTTCAGTAAAAAGGTATGTGATGAATGCGACGATAAAGTTTTTTATGATTAAATATATGTTCATTGTTGTACCTACAAAAATGCAAGCTTACTAGCACCTAGTTATTGAATCAAATCGAAAGTATTTGCTATTAATGTAAATATGTACCTGCAAAGTATGTCAATAAATTTGTGTGATGTTGACCAGAGAGCTGTATCATCTGGGCATTTATGTTGCTTCTTACATTTGGTGTTAAGCATAGTAATTATGGATGAACTTTGTGCCAATATCTTCAATTCACAGTGTATGTAGCATGTCTACAGCCCTCACTGATCCTGCTATAGCTATAGGCATTTGACTCCAGCAAGACCAAGGGCATGAACTTCACAGTTGCGCAACCCTTTTCTTGTACCACCAGTCACTTTTTTTCCTTAAGGTGCACATGGCAGTGTACACAATAATGCACAGAGGGCCTACACAAAAACAGCATGATTAGTGTGCACTATGATGCACAGCATTGTACCCTGATCATTTGAATATTCTGGTCACTCAAGTCAGGAGACCATTTTTGAATGTCACATTTATTATACATCACTTGTCAAACAAGAGCATGATGACACACATTTTGACAAGCAATCATGGTAATATTCCAATCAATTGGACACCTCCCTAGGCATCATTTTCCAGGAAGGTACTTCTGCAGGTGTTGTGGTAGGTTAGGTTGAATTGGGTTAAGTTAGGTGAAGTAAGGCGGTTAGGATCAGGTCAGACTGTAAGACCTGGTCAGGTTGATTTTAATCTTTCATTCTAATTTGACATAGATACCTATTACCTATGTTTTTGCTCCAGACTGTACTTCATTAGGTAATGAGTTCATTTTGTTTTGTTTTTTATCTGTCTTGTTTTGTGTTTTTGTCCCTTATGTTTTGCCCCATAGGCAAGGGTGGAGCTTTTCCAGGGAAGGTGGTGCTGGTTGGGCAAAAAGCTGTCAAACCTGCAATGCTCGGTTGTTAAGTTAGATTATGTGCAACACTGAATCAATTCTTTTAATTACAGAACTAATATTTTGAATTACACAGACATTTCAAAGCTCCTCAATGCGAACAACATAGTGGTTTGCTAAGCAACGAAGTTCTACAAATAAGCAAAAGTTGGAGGGGCAGAACGCTATTTTTTCTCTGACAGCTTCGTAACTTGTTACGAAGGCACTAAAACTACTTCAGTACAGGGTGTAACGAAATTATCCGGACATCTATTTTTTGCCATATCTGTTTGCACAGTTTCCTCATACTTTCTGATGTTAGAAGTGGGAATATTGGATGAATACGTGCCTCTGCTATCGGTTTTCAACTCAGCAGTGACCTGACCTTGTCATGTGACTGTTGCTCTGAGTAGGAGTCGATTCACAGACGGGTTCACATGGTAGTTGTCGTCCAAGGCAGTTGCGAGAAAGGGATACAATCTCTCCTTTCGTGGTAAAATTGCATGGCGGCATCCACGGCGTCATGAGCCAGAAGCTGGTCTGCCAGCAGCTAGACATCAGCAGCAGCCAATTGCACATCTGCCTGAGGTGTAATAAGCTGGGACTTCGGTGGCAGACTCAGCCCGGTCGCGACCACAAAAGCCGCCCTTTGTCAAGTGGTGAGGAGAGTTGTCAGGATAGCGGCAAGGAAACGGCACCAATCAATCTGCAAATTGACTCGAATTCTTACCAAGTCAGATAATAAGAGATCCCATATCATGGTTTACCGCTACCCGCCCTTTAACTTGGTTCTAGTGCCCTTCAAACTGAAAAAGACAACGAAACTGACGGGAAAACAACCAGTTCACATCCTTTCGCCTCACGCCGGATCGCGTCCACTGGATGAAGAATGATAAGGGTGAGGTGGTCTGGTTGGATGGGTAGCCGTTCGAGCTGTTTTATCCTTTGAACCGTCAAATCGGCCATGTATGGGCGGCCAGCCGCTCGAACTTGCTGGCCTTCGCCGCCGTCAAACATCCGGACAATATCCAGAACTGGAGCATGTTCAGTTGCCTAGCGATCCTCCAATAGGACATAGTGTCACATAATACCACCATCAACGTCAAGTATTACCCCGGAGAAACATACTGGCTAATGAATAGTCGGAGGCGCTCAACCAGACGGTATAGGAGGGCTCGGTTTCTGAACGCGCACTGATGCCTGATTCAAGCCACGCTATCTTCATGCGGGGCGGCGCGCTACTTAAAAGTCCCTAAAAGAACGGGAAGTGATGCCGATAGAACCTTCAATCATTCTGGGCTAACGCTTATGACTTGGAAAAAGTCGCGATCCCAATTCAATTGAAAACCTGTGGGCTCTTGTTCAGCAGGTGACTGAAGAGACGCCCGCCACAAGCACCGCCCAACCGCAGGCACAGGTTTAGACGGCGTTGGTCCGCGTCAAAGCCAGTTTGCTGGAGAATCCATTGGCTGAAATGCTCCAAAACATTCGCCACTGTGTTTTTATGAAAGGTGGCTACATGCTCAGTCAAAATAAAAAGTACCAGAATGTGTTGCTTTTTAATAACAGCGGGAAGAAAGATGTCCGGATAATTTCGTTACACCCCTGTAATGTTCAAATGGTTGCTAAATTCGAAATCAGCTAAACAAAAACTAGCCTAGAAACATGTTAAACTCGAAAAAGTGAACCGGGGTCATCAAAGGTCATTGAGCTGACCTGACTTTCATGTGACACCCACCCTAATGCATGGGACGAGCATCATATCACATGTTTCAACGCTTGAAACCACTTAAAGACTGCAAACGCGCGGCTAATGCGAGCAGACATATCGCCGAATCGCGATTCGGGCCAAACATGGTCTCGAGAAACAGGTCACAGGTCAAAGGTCATTTGGGTCAGGGTCATGAAATTTTCAGGGTAGGAGTAAAATTGATAAAATCGGGGGTATTGAAAGTTTCGTCGCGATCGGACGGTTTTTACGCGAGTTACTCACGAAAAACCGATGGGGTCCGCTCAACGCCTCCCCCTATACGGGCGAGGGAAAAGCGCAACCAAAAAGGCAAAAATACGCACATGCGATAACCTATACTGCGAAAAAAAGGTGCATCATTTTTTAACGTCGCCGACAAATTGTAATTACCCCAAGCTCAGGCAGCTGTATGGTAGAAAATGCCCCAACTGAAATACACTACGGCGCAAATAAAATACCCTACGGCGGAGCTCGGTTGCAATTTGTAAATACGCCATCAGCACGCGTATTTTGAATTCACCATAGGGCTCAGCCACTCCTAGCGGAAAATTCTGGGGAATTCTCCCCCTGGCGACAAATGTGGGGAAATGAGCATAAATGTGTAAGTCCCTAGAAACTAATTCGTCCCAAGAAGTCCCCCACTACATTAGTGATGCAAGTTTGACTGGGGTATATTAGAGATGCAAATTACATGAAAAGATGTTATATTTTATGTTAAGATTGAGAAACCGTGCTTATAGTGGAAGGTATGTTAATGATGCAAACATATTAGCGAACTGGGAGTGGTCACTGGTCACCTGCTAATTTTGCGTCATTCCGCTAACGCTAGTTGAGCCAGTTATTGCTTGAAGCGTCATAACTTCGGTATAACTATACATCATTATTTGTTGGCTATTAACTGAGATCTGATTTCTTTATCTTTTAAAGAAGACTTAATATAAGAGAGATGGTAGCATCGTCTTGGTGTCATATCTGATCAAAGCGGCCATCCTCCAATGTCCCAACTTACCCCGCGGCGGGGGGTCAGTTGGGCCAGGGCCTAAGGCAAGTTGGTACACTAGGAAAAACAGTTTATCTAAACACATTTTTATTCATGTTTCACATGAACAATCATCGCTAATCCATGCGGGCATTAACGACAAAACACAAACGTTTGCAGTACTCCTGCGGCAAACAAAAAGGCACACACAACGACACTAGAAGAGAATATTTTCACAGCAAGAAAATCACTTTTGGTACCTGAAACACATTTGTAGCGATTATTAACAGCACTTACCTCAGCACGCGCCGACACCACGTTGACAAACAGACGGCGTTACTGTGCATGTACAAAATAAGTTTGAACGCCAACTGTCGAGAAGTATTGGAAATATCCCTTCCGTCCCAACTTACCCCCCCCCCCCTGGCACCAACTTACCCCGGTCTCCCCCACTTCACCTCTACCACTCAGCGCCCCAGGGGGCGGTTCTGGTCAACACAGGTGGCCAGGCTGTGGGGCGCCGCCGACCGCCTGGCGGAGGCTGCCACGTAGCCGTGCTCCCCGGTGCGCGCGGAGCGGCACGGCCGTCCAGCGGGCCAGCGAGCGCGACCCCGCACGTTGGTGCTGGTGCGACGGGCAGTGCTGGTCGGCTGGACCGGAATCTGGGTGGCGTTCCGCCGGCAGCCCTGCGCACCTCCAAACTGGTGCAGAGCGGACTGGCGGCCAGCAGTGGGCAGCTGGCCCCACCTCTGCTGGAAGGCAGCGGCAGCCCTCTCCCAGGTGTCGTCCTGGACGACTGCCTCGCACATGAAGGCTGCCCACTCCTGGATGAACGCCACGGTTTGGCGCGTCCGGTCATCTGAGCGTCGCTGCTCAGCTCCACTGACAGCCGCCGCCGCAGCGGCGGGGTCCTCGAAGTCCATTGCGTCGTCGTCGTACTCCTCGGGACTCGGCGACGGCTGGGGCTGCGCGACTCCCGGGGCGCTGGCGGGCGTGGGGCCAGGAGGTGACGAGGTGGACGGCTCGGCGACCAGAGGGTCGAACCAGTTGCCTGGCAGCTGCTGGCTGGTCCCCATGGCGATGTCCATCAAGGCCCTCCGCGTCTCCTTTGTCGCCGTCGCCTCCGGCACAGCGCCAGTCTGCTGCCGCACGGCTCGGAGGTGTTTGCAGCCGCCAGTCCGCCGGTTCATCCTGCAGGTGCAGGCGCCGACGTTCAGGTCCACCAGGTAGGTGATGCCGACCGACGTCAGCGACTTCACCTGATAGGTGAACTCCGTCACCTGTGGGAGGGGCAACACATAAAATCCTGTAAAATTCGTATGTACAGTCTGTCTTAAAAGTACCGCGCAAAGTGACGGTGGATCCATCAAGCCTTACTGAAGAAAGGCCTGCTTTACTTTGAAAGTCACCGAACCAATTGACCTGGGGAATGGACGAGAATATCAATTGTTTTGATGACTCAAATTGAGCAGGCCCTTCCTCGGTCAGGCTTGATGGATCCACCGTTGCTTTTTCGCGGACTTTTAAGACAGACTGTACAACATAAACTGACGGACGGTTACTTGTACGAAAATCCGAACCTGTTCATTCGCCCCAGTACTGTCAGCTTGGCCTTTTAAAACAGACCCCCAAAGGGAAAAAAGAAGAAACAAGAAAAGATTAGCGAACATATTAGCGAACTGGGAGCCGAGCCGGCGCACCCCTTAGGGGTGCGCCGATTGCATTGGTCACTTTGCACAGCCATGTGGCAGTACTAGTGGGACCAGCATTGGAAAACGAGCTGTCTTATGTGACCTTAATCAGTTCTCGTGTCATGCAAAATACCTGCGTCACAGTGCCCGTTTCTTGGCTGGTGCCGCCGCGGACCGGCGCAGTGCCGCCCGCTGCCGGCCGTTGGTCACGTCGCACGCCCTCCTGGCGTAGTGCTTGCTGAGCTGGACCGTGACGGAATCAAACAGCTGCAGCAGGTTGAACGCCCGAGTCCTGGAAAAACAGCGCGTGTCAAGCGAATATTTCAACAATTTCTTTGCAGCTATAATTAACGGTAGACTGCCATCGTATGGACACAATAAGGCTTTCAGAAGAGCAACCAAAAGCACAACTAACAATTTCACAACCTACCCGAAATGCGAAAGTTTGTTTTTCTTCCACATGTAGGGTTAACAGAAATGTAAAACCGTGATATTCACAAGTTAATCCGTGTTAATCCATGAAAGTCACAAGTCGTCTTTGACGAAGGGATGTATGGTCCAATTCCGTTTCGGGGGCTTCAGGCTCTGAACTTTGGCAGACACTGGGGAGAATTGCACAGTCCTAGGGATTTTGATGGTGTTTTCGAGAACATTTTACCGGCTCACTCTCAGCCCTCCGACCTATATTGAAAGGAAAAACTACTCCCCTGCTTTGGCTTTTTTCCAATTATTTGTCTTTATTAATTGGAATTTGTCTGTAACTGCAACTTTGACATTTCTTCAACATTTGCCACTTTTGGGCAACCTTACAACTTGAAATATTTTAAAATAGTAATGAATCTATCGCAATACCTCCGGTCACCGAAACAGTTTTACAATCAACTTTAGTTAAAAGACAGGTTTGTCTATGAACGCCAGGTTAACTGTTTTATTTATTGAACCGCAATTAGGTGAACCATATGAATAAAGACTGACCTGTAGAGGACAGAGTCTTTGAGGACTCTGAAGGCGGACTCCACGATGTTGTTCGTGTTGTGTCCCCGGGTGGGGACATCCGTGCGGAGACACAGCGCCCACTCTTGACGGCGGGCAGCGAAACCCTGCAGGTACTGGTCCAGCAGTGGGTAGCGCTCGCCCCACTCGGTAGCCACCAGCTCCATCGTCGTCGCTATCTCCGCCTCATTGTTGGCGTACACGAGCTGTTTGGCTAGTGCCATGATAGCCTGCCTGTGCTGGAAGAAAATGCACAATTTAACTTGTATCCGAGTGTGGGAGGCGGGAGGGGTGCAGGGTGAAGGGTGAAGGTAAATGTAAATATACGGGGTGTTTGAGATGAAATTAATCAAACTCATTTACGTTCTTTTACAGCTTTTAGACCAGTATCACTGCATGTCTATTCCTGACTGCCAGCCTATGCCTGTCTATGCCTGACTGCCTGCCTATGCCTGCCTCTGCCTAGCTGTCTGCCTGCCTCTCTCTCTCTCTCTCTCTCTCTCTCTCTCTCTCTCTCTCTCTCTCTCTCTCTCTCTCTCTCTCTCTCTCTCTCTCTCTCTCTCTCTCTCTCTCTCTCTCTCTCTCCCTCCCTCTCTCTATGTCTCTATCTCTTTCTCTGCCTCCCTCTCTCCCTCTCTCTCTCTCTCTCTCGCTCTCTCTCTGTGTTTCTCAAAAAGGGGTAATTAGACAAAAATGAACGGAAATTCATTCCCAGTAGAAACTACTCACTTGCTTGTCGATGCCATGTTTGCCGTTGTGAAGCCATCGCCAGACGGCCTGCAGGACGTGAAACGTGCACAGCAGGAGCCGCGCCTCAGGCCACACCGCCGACAGCGCGTTCCGCTCGGCCTGACAGTCGTCCGTCATGAAGCACAGAGGGCCGCGCCTTCCACGCCCGCCAAAGGCGCCTGTCAAAGAAGCATTCTCGGTCAAACACGATATTGGATTTTATACACCAATGCACAACTGACTGGACAATTCAGAGTTTAGCCGCCAGATATGGGAATTCATGGCAAATGTAGGTATATCGTACCGTCTGGTAAAATCCCGACGAGCAGCCGGAAGGCTTTGTCCACCACGGCCTCGGTCTCCGAGGTGGAGACGATGACACCGAGAGGCAGACCACCGGCCGGGCTCCAGCACATCAGCAGGAAGACGCGCTGGCCGTGCCGGTCCATCCCTCCTGAGGCGTCGACGAAGACCACCTCTCCCGCGTCGGGGAGCGTGTGGACGCGCTCCATCAGCGCGTCACCGCCGCGATCACCGTCTCGCCGTCCTCGACTGAGACCGCCGTGCGGACGTCCTTCATGTGGCGGATGAGGTCCATGGTCTCCTCCTGGGTCGAGGCTGGGTAACGCTCCCGACAGTGCTTGTAGTACAGGCTGAAAACACATTGCATTGTCAATTGACTTCCAGCTGCAAGTGGTGGTCAGTTTCATTTTGTGATAAAATACCGATTGCATAACAGTGTACTTATGGTTAAGCTTCAGCTGTCCCACTTGTTCCTGATTCGTCCTAATCAAAATATAGCTTACCCCTCAGCGCATTGAATTACACAAATCCAAGGTGAAAATAATGTTAACCTGCGCTGGGCCGGAAGGGGGGCGTCTAGACGCCATTCCCCTTCAGGTTTTTCACGAATAGCAGGAAAACGGAAATGACCCTGACACATAGGCGTACGTAATATGATTATCGATAGCTTTTACTAAACCAGAATGCATTTATCGCAGCGTAAAATGTTGCGAGTTTTTAGCACAACACAATTCATAGATAACAGTAGAACTGGATGTGACACGAAAACAGGCAGATTGCAATAGGGGACCCAAAAATTGTCAATGGCCAGATCAGTCTCGGATCGAAACCACATATCCCAGACATGCGGCCTTCTTTTCTGAGTAGCCCTATCATCTCTGCTCCGTGTAACGATCAATTGCATCTCATATATGAGAATCATGTGTAACTTTATAGGGAAAGTCTAATTATTTCAGATACTGTCCCTACAGACTTGCTAACTTGTGGCAGTGTGGCTTTGCATCAAGCTGTTAAAAACTTACTAGTAGACGGCCATCCTATCTGGGACAATGGCTCGGTCTGCGGCCACCGACGGGTAGGCGCTCCCATGCTCCTCCTGAAGCTGTAGTTTCAGGGTCTCCAGCGCCGTGGAGGGCGAGTGGTGGTGCTGGAACAGCTCCATCAGCCGGGCCTTCGTCAGCTCAGAGACGCGTCGATGTCTCAGAGCGGCAGCGTTGTCCACGGCGTGGTTGTGGGGCTTCTTGTTACATGTCACCCGTAGCTCGTAAGCCGCGCATGGGTCTGTAGACCTATTCCTGGAAAGGGAGGATTCGTCAACAAATATAAAAAACACGAGACGATGGTGTTATTCAGAAGAAATTCCGCTCCTTCCACGCACTTTTATAAGGTACCAGCAGAGGCGGATCCAGCTCAGAGGTTTGGGGGGGGGGGGGGCAAACCATAAAAATTTATCGATTCTTTCCATGCATCGTCCATAGGCGTAATGTTGAAATCATGCCGTTTGGGGGGGGGGGGCAAATGCCCATTTTGCCCCCCCCCTGGATCCGCCACTGGGTACCAGCAAGAAACCTTTTGAGGCAAGGAACGAGCGAGGTGAAATGTTTCGGATTATCACCGTTTTTAGTTTTCTGAGCCAAGATTGGCACAACTAAGAAAGATAGCGACTTGAAATCTTTTCGGCAGCGAACTCCTTCATCAAATATGTAGTTTTTTTTTTCAATTGCGGTTGATCGTTTGATCAACTAAGGCGTTTGTAAAAAGCAGGGCTGCGGAGTCGGAGTCGGAGTCGGTCGGAGTCAACAGTTTTGGTCGGAGTCGGAGTCGATCTTTTTTCTTGGCCAGAGTCGATAAGATTTTACCGACTCCGGCCATGTAGTCCGAAAATCGCCTTCCATCAAGTGAAATTGTTGTCTGGTGAAAGCAAAATGGCAATTATCCCGATGATCCAAAGTGGTCAGACAACAAAATCGACCTACGATTTTGATCAGCCTTTTCTTTTCTCCCGAAGTTCACGTCTCTGCACTGGTTCGGTGAACCAAAGGGCCAAATAAATGCTTTCCAGAACTAATAGGTCGGAGTCGGAGTCAGAGTCGATTTTGTGAGGCCGGAGTCGGAGTCGGAGTTGGCTAAAGTTGGGTCGACTCCGCAGCCCTGGTAAAAGGTGCCAATGACAAAAGACGGTGAGAAACTTGCCGTTTTGGAATGTTGGCGACAGTCACTTTCAGGCGCAGGGGGCACCCGGTGTCCTTGGCGGATTGGTTTTTCCTCGGACGACTCGGCTTTTCTGGGACGTCGTGGTGACAACGAAGCCTGGCCTGAAAAAAATTGACAACCTTAACAAAAGTGATGAAATCAATTGCCACTCATTAGTCCGTCATTTAAATGAGGATGAAAGTTTCTCGATTTAAAAACGTTACCTTTTTAACTGACCCTGAACATGGTGTTTCATTAACCCGCACCTTCCTGCGATATAAAAGAGTAAAAGTTACTGGGTGCAGTGGCGCACCCAGGGAGGAGTCAGGGGGACAAAGGGGTCAGCTGACCCTCCCGAAATCTAGCGGGCCCGCTGGTAGGTGCCCGTCCAGTCCTCCGAGACACCCGGTATGACGGCTGGATGACTGGTCCTCAGTACCTACGCGGCATCAAGCTGGGGATTCATGCAGCGAGCCCAGGCCGCCGGGCCCTCTGTCAGTAGACCCCGACAGGCTTTCATACGGCGGGTCTTTGCTGAACCCTCAGGAGGCTCTGCACCAGCAGAATTTTCCATTGGCGGGCCCAGGTCGATTGCTCGGGCAAAAGTACCCCCCTGCCGAGCTTTACACGGCGAGCCCAAACTGGTATTTCATAAACTAAAGCTCTCACCCAGTACACCACCCTTTGGCCATTCGACATGGAGTCGTACGTCGTCAGGGTGATGTTGGCGGCCTCTTGGTACAGCTGAATCCACTGCAGGGCCGATTCCTTTGACGCCGGACATCGGTAGGCCACAGTGGTGCCCTCCATCAACTCCTGAAACGAAATAATGCAAGGTCTCACTGGGGTATTCTTGTCTGGGACCAATGCACGATCGTATTACCGTAATAGTCAGCTATAATGCAGATGACAAATACTTAGTGACAAGACGCGTTATATTCAAATACAGATCACCGCACACACCACTCATACCAATAATATTGTCATTCACAATTGATACAACTTTGTTACCGAAGCCTGTGGGGAAAGTTGATAGTTCCATTTTAAAAATGCAAGTTTTCATTTATGAAATGATTGCAACATGGCTCAAACCAATTACATATAATATGTGTTACTGCAAATTGAAATTGCCATCATCAGCAATTGCTATTGCTATAAGCAAATTGCTATATTTGATGCTCACCGGTTCCAGGTCTGGAATCATATCAAGCTTCTCGCACAAGATGTACTTGGCATCAGCCTTCCAGATTACTTGGAAGTGATCCTGTTGGAAGAAGGAATGTTCCATAAAGTTGGTGGCGGACTTGTACCTATTCAATATTTAATATCAATATAGTAACAAGGGTTACACGACTCATAATCTTCACTTACAGCATTTTTTAAAAATTATGTAAAGATTATAATTCTGCTGGTGATACCTATAGCCATGTGGGTAAATGTCAAGTTTAAGTCCTAAGCAGATTTCATGGATAATTTTTTCATATTCTTACATTATTTGGCCGGTACACATGGAGGTCCCCGCTTCAAAATTAGTTGATTTTGAATTTAGTGTTTCTGACCATTATTTGACATCCTGAATCCAAAAATGATACTTATATGTCTCGTAACTAAAAGAAAAACATAATCAAACCTGAACTAACCTTACCTTTTCACCTATAACCTACCAATCTACTACCTACAAACCTACAATGCAACCTAAAACTTACAACCTAACGTAACCTAAAACATAATTTTTTTGCTGTTATAGATTTGTATCAACAGCGTCACAGTTATAGTTAGGACCTAAACTTGACATATACCTGTATTTCTTGCGCCCTAACCCACAACAACAGCAACAACAACTGTATTTCTTGCAAAGAACATGCACCTAAAATGGAAATACTTATTAATCACCAACCTTTTCCAGCATCTTGAAGCATATATAGGCCTCCGCAATAAACGAGCAAACATGAGACACGAAAAAGGCGCTTTGGATTAAAAGGCGCGCCAGTGGCATCGGAAGAGCTGCCAGATCGGCTGAAATCTCTAGCGCGATTTCGCTTTTTTCCAAGGTGCCTAGAATTCCTCTAGGAATGGCTGAGCCCTATGGTGAATTCAAAATACGCCATCAGCACTAAGAGTAGTACGCATTCCATAGTAGAACTGACGACTAAATAAAAAGCAACTACTTGTTATAATAACCAACAAAAATATGACGATGAAATTGGTAGAAATAGCGAACGTGTTTTACTTTCTGACAACAATCACAACAAACTTTGTCAAAATTTTAAGTTCTCTTTGCACCACAGCATAAACTGCTGAAATCTGGTTCTCAAGTGATTTGGCGCCAACAGTCGCTATCACTTTTCACCTTGACAACCACGTGGACCGTTCACCGTGGTGACCCAGTGATGTCCCAGTGATGACTCCATCCAAGGCTATAGAGCTCCGGCTCCATCAACTCAAAGCTCTATGGTTAGATCTAGGGAGGGGGGGGGGGCAGCCATAGCCTCGGGAGTCGATGGATGATCTTGCCATCTGGGCCCTGTTTCACCGGTGATAGCAGCACGCCGATTTTACGACTTGTCAGTGCGGGTGGGGTGGGGGAGGGGGGGGGGGTAAGCTTCTGCTCGTGCAGAGCACAATAAGAACGGCCATGCCATCTTTCTGACAGCACTATCAAACAACTGATTTTACAGAGACCTGATCTGAGCGCAGGTCATCCCCAGTGAGAAAACCCGGCAAAGTTCTGCAGTTAGCTCAGGGCACATATGGTCAGGGGTGGAGAAATATGCCGAGTTGGGGTTGCACGGGCGCAGCAAATCCGCCGCCGCCCTAGCGGTGACCTTGACCTCCGCCGTCTGGTGCGGCTCCAAAGCCAAGCCGGCGCAGCCGGCGTGGAATTGGGAAGGCTCGTGCCACCCCAACTCGGCACAATTGTCCACCCCTGCATATGGTGTGTTTCCGACTTTTGGGAGTGGCTTGTGGCCAGTGGCAATCCCAGCGTTTCATCCATTAGATCAAGTCGGAGAGCGGGATAGGCCGCGGGCCGCGCTTTCTCTACGAACTACTAAATCGAGCGCTAGCCCGTGTTCTCCTTTATTGACTTACCGGAAATTCCTAACGGTGAGCAGACAATAGATAACAAAGGAAGGACCGGGCTACGCCACAATCTCCGTTTACCGTTCAGAATGGGGATAGGTTTTAGCATACAAAAAAAAACATCCCAGCACCTTAGCCAAATTAGGTTCGAACGAGTCCAGGAATCCTAACTCAATCCCATTCCCATCCACGCGGGCAAAAGGAGTTCCACTCTTGGTTACACTGAACAATGAGAGTCGTCGCATTTACACGACACTTCACCAGCACCAATGACTTTGTCTTGACCTTTTGCAACCGCCATTCACCGCCACGCGACAGCCATTGTGAGCATATTGTGTGTATTGACACCCAGCTGGACATTCTCGTCCGCGAGGTTACACAGCCATCAGACAAACATTGGCATACTGGCACACACACAGACACACATCAGTGGGAAGTGACGAACTCCTTGTCACTTCCAATGCCCCAGCCGGCACTACCCTGCGGTGATCGCGAGCTCAGCCGCGGTGGGCCGTTCCGAACTGAACCGTCTAGAACTGACAGCCGGCTGTTCTAGTACCGTCCTCACGGTCCGGAGCCGACGGCCGACGCTCGGTGGCGCTGCGGACCGCACCAGGCGCCGTGACTGGGCCCAGCGGTGCGCCGCCGCACCCGCCCACCAGAGCCAGCGGCACCCTACTCCGCCGCCTCCACTCGGACTATCATCCTATTGCACAGCGATCGGGCAAGGCTGCTGGCCGCGGGACCTCAGATTCGCGTATCAGCTCTCAGTCACGCCGCGCTCGGCTGCACTCTGGCTGCACTACTAGGGCGGCACAAGGAGCCGGGCACTGCCGACTCCTGCCACGAACGACGGAGCCGGGACCCTCAGGAGAACTTGACTGGACTCAACAGCGAGCATCGAAATTAACATTGACTAAAAACGGCACCGAGAACAATCCAAATACCGAATTGCCGTTTCAGGGAACTCGCTGAATTGCGAAGGTAACAGCTGGCTTGACTTCTTTTTGGTTTGTAGCTGTCTTTCGATGTGTTCTAAGCTTTGAACAGATGTCCAAAAATGACGAACTTAACGATGGTGAGTGTTGTGATCGGCGGCGACTACTCCGAGTGGAACCAGCGCGCCCAGGCTACCACCATGCGGTCCCAGGCGTTCTCCCAGCTGTCCAGGGCCGGCCGGACGTCCAGCAGCGCGAACTTGTAGTCGTTGGGGTTGACGGCGCCGCCGTCGTAGTAGTCGATGACGTAGCGCACCTCCTTGCCGCACCGGTCCACGATCCAGTCGTGCCGGTCGAAGGGCAGCTCGTACCTGGCGGACGGACCCGGCGCCAGCGCCGCTTACAAACGTGCCACTCGTACAGTAGGCTCACATTATATCCAACGCGGACGGCGGACCGGTGCAGGGGCGCGATTATAAAAGCAGCTCGCTGGTGCATGACAAGTCGACTGTATATGCATTTTCTGTTCTTTTTTACAAAAGAAAAAACTCCAATAGGAACAAAAAAGACTGCAGACGCTGACAATGTTTCATCGATTTTATAATTCGAAGGCGCGCAAGAGGTGTATCAAAACGTATTTCGCAGCGAGCGAACAGGTGAGGCGCACTGTTATAATGCGTGCTTGCTGAGACTTACTGAACGACGAGAATCGTCGTGTGTGGTTCTAGCAGGTTATAACAGGTTGTAACAGTTACTACCGTCTATCCACTGTACTCACCCCATCCAGCTCCTGAAGCGGGCGCGGGGCGAATAGTCGGCAGCCTTGCCGCCGAACCGCTTCAGCTTCGGCTGGCCGCACTCGTGCGCGTGCAGCGCCTCCCACTTCAGGATCTGTGCCAAACATCAGTGCGACATCAGATCACTGGTATGACTAGGCACCGGGAATATGAATGGGGCATTTGAGAGCGCCTTAAAGCTTCTCCGGATAGGCCGGTAAAATATAAAAATGCATTGGCATGTTTCCTATTGAATATTCAAGCTTCATTGTGACGCTCTATAAAAAGGAAAGATAATTTACCGTGTCCACTGTTCATCCGTGTGGTCGGACACATTGATAATGAATAGCTCCTGTGTACCAAAAAAGCGACAACAAAAGCAATATCAAATCTGCTTAACGCGTTTTTCTTTTTTCCGCATCCACAGCCCTCAAAACTTTACTGAAAAGAGGCAAGATTCGACATGACTTTGTTCGAGGAATAGTACAGTGAGACACATATTCCGTATTCGTGCATAATCCATCCAGAAATGAGGTAATTCAGATAGTCAACACAAACATTCCGGTTCATGACTGTACTGATCGTATCTCATCAGCGTCCATGTACCGACGACAGGGTACCGGAGGGGAGGGATGATCGACCGCCTACCTCCTGCCAGGCGAGCTCGTTGTTGACGTTGTGGATGCGGATGATGTTGTCCATGTCCATCTGCGACAGGTCGTCCTCCTTCCAGCGCCAGCCCTTGCGTAACATGGCGTTCCAGAACATCTGCAGAGGAAGTATGCCGTTAGCGCGGGGAGGAGGGTGATACGCCCAGGGCAGCGACAGAGCACGCAGATGGCTGTATCGCTGTATCACTAAATAGTTGTGCGTTAGTAGTTGCATAAAGCAAAGAATCGTTTATTGTCGCGATAAAGAATAAAGTCGAGATTAGAGCAAGTATGTCCTACTGACTTTGGTCTATCGGTGACGACGGGCACATTCAGCTGGAGTTGTCGGAGGCTAGGACGTTCACTCTCCTATGGTGACGGGTAAAGTAAACCCAGTTGGGGCTGTCGGGGGAGGGGGTGAGAGGACCCCAGAGGGGCAATTGCTCGCCTGCGGTGACGGGTACACCCAGTTGGAGCTGTGTGTGGGGGGGGGGGTCGGGGGAGGAGCCCTAACTGGCCTGCGGTGACGGGTACACCCAGTTGGAGCTGTCGAGGGGGGAGGAGCCCTAACTGACCTGCGGTGACGGGTACACCCAGTTGGAGCCATGTGTGTGTGTGGGGGGGGGGGGGGGTCGGGGGAGGAGCCCTAACTGACCTGCGGTGACGGGTATACCCAGTTGGAGCTGTCGGGGGGGGGGGGGGCTCTAACTCGCCTGCGGTGACGGGTACACCCAGTTGGAGCTGTCGGGGAGGGGGGAGGAGCCCTAACTCACCTGCGGCGACGGGTACACCCAGTTGGAGCTGTCGGGGAGGGGGGAGGGGGTCGGGGGCAATTACTCACCTGCGGTGACGGGTACACCCAGTTGGAGGTGTCGTCGGTGGCGCGCGGGATGTTGGACACCTGCCGCTCGGTGGAGAGCGGGAACGGCTGGTCGGGCGCCGGCTTCTGGTTCGGCGGCGCTTCCTGTCATCAAACAGAGGCCACACATGGCGGTCAGAGGAACGGCGGGACAGACAGGCACGGACCCGGCACCCACGAGTCGCGTTCCGACATAACCGCTGGTCTCATATACACGGCACCTTAGAGTTGCGCACGGGTACGGTGTCTCGGCGAGTCGCACACGGGTCAGACACCTCCCACTCGCGCGCGGACAATGTACGCGATAGTAGCACCATCAGCCCCTGATTCAGTCACAGACCGGCCCGCGAGTCTGTCGCCGGGCACCGTCCCGGCGCGGCGCGGCGCGCCGCTCACCATGTTGGCGGGGTCGACCTGGAGCACGGCGCCGGCCTGGTCTGTGACGATGCCGTGCTGGTGGGCCGGCAGCGAGTCCCGCCCGGTCATGGGGCACTCTGGCGCCGAGCTGGAGGACATGGGACACTCGGGAGGCAGGGTCTGCCCGCCGCCACCCGCGGACATGGGGCACTCGGGCGGCAGGACGCGGTACGGACCAGCGGCCGTCTTGGCGGGCTGCTCCGGTACCTCCGCCGATGGAGGCTGGGTCAGGCCTGAAAACACGTGAAACTATATTAGTAAAAGCGCTCTCATCAAACGGAATATGCCTCACAACATAACGGTCTTCACAAGGTGTGGTGTAACTGTGGACAGTGTGTGGTTAAGCACGAAAGCATATTGACAATCACTCAGTCAACTAATAGGTACATTATCAGGAAGATAGGGAGATAAAACTAAACGCAATACATCCGTAGCCAAGCGCATCAGAACTAGGCGATCAATTAGTACTATTTGAAATCTGACCTCTAGAATCACTAACCAATTATATACCTACTCGCATTTCGATCGAACAAGTATAAAACAGCGTTGAGTACCGGGTGTTCACTAAAAATTGAGACAAAGTTTAGCAGGCTGTATCTTCGGTAAAAATGTACCGATTTAAACAAACGAGGCACTGTTGCAATGCACATTGCATCTGCTGCAAGCCGTAGAGCGTCAACAGATTTCCCTGATCCCCGTAGGTCATTTTTTTTGGACATTTCCTTGGAAGTGTTGTCACAAGCTCTGGCACCAGTGGACCGTGATGTTGGCCAGTTGATGGTGGTAATGAGCAACCAGTTGATATTTTGTATGAAAACGAAAGACACTAACATACGTTATAGCTTTAGGCAAATCACATTAGATAATCATTTGTTACATTTCAGGCGTGGAAAATGGTTTATCGGGTCTCGTTCCAATGGGAATTTTTACATCGGCCGGGGCCCTCAAGGCGCCACTTGGTTAGTGTGCTGGCGCGAGGTCGGACCAGAAAATCACCTTCTGGTTACATATGTTGTTCTGCATGAACCTCTAGTGCTTAATAATACACTTGGCTCAAAAAGTATCATATTGTAAAGGACCAGTCAGGAGGAATAAAGTCAAACTGTGATGATATTCTCTGAAATAACACATACACCACGGCATCCAGCGTTAGCTTGCATGCTGACACTTAAATGGACGTTAGCCCTTGTATCATCGATCACATCACAACAGAACACTCCATTGTCTAGTTAATTGTCGCCCTTTAACTAAAAACATGATTTTTCTACCTTAAATAGTTCAACCTTTTTCTGCATTTTTTGTCCCTTTTTTGACCATAGCATATTTACTTCTCTGGCCTTATGTTGTTCCCAGTCGCTTCGAGAAATCATTTGCGCCGGTTGTAACTCAGCCTAGTCTCAGGTGTGATATATCTTCTTCGCTTAGGCACAGTTAATATCTTACTGATCAGCAGCATTGCGCCGTGAGGTGTCAAAAAGCCCCTCCACGTGCATTTTCGGGGCCCCGACCCTTCCTCAGGTCAATATCTTCCCAATTACACCACTTCAGCTTTTCGGACTCCCACACCCTCTAGAACTTTCGTCCCACTGTACGGTATGTAACTAATTTTGACATTTTAAGTTTTCATTAGGTATTTGTACGTGCCAAACTCTCCCATTGACGTGCTATTTTGGGAAAGCCTGCCAATGGGCTTTTGGTAGTCCTTGTTTAAAACGACCTCCAACGCCACTGTTTTCATTACATCCGTGAAATTTTATGCTCGATATGATAAAAACGTCCCTTTTATGTCTATGCTAAGTTGCATCGTAATAGCTTGCTTCACTTTTGATATGCAGCCATTCAAAGTTTGTGTCAATTTTTAGTGAACACCCTATATCTAAGCACACCTTAGTCGCCATCTCTCAAAATGGCATATGAGTAGAATAATAATAAACGAATGCTAAAATGCCAATTATTTTTCAAAAGCTTCATTTTAGTCATAAGCGACAGAGCCGGTGAAATGACATTTTCAAAACTACCTCCGTAAACAACTGGTGATGAAGTTAACTGGCACTGGCCACGGATGTGTCACTTATCCCGTAAGACGAATAAAAAATGACTAAGACAGAACAATCAAGAAGTAAGAAGAATCAAAACTGATGAAGACTGACAAAACACATTTACAACAGTTAGGAGCCAACAAATAAAATACCTAGCTGATTCAACAACCCTCTGATTTTTTTCAGTGGCAAAGGCCTCTTTTGCAGACGAGCTCGGTCAGCCTGGAAAAGATATTATTGATCTGATGACGCCAGCTGCGCTATTGATCTGATGACGTCCGTCCATGCAAGAAGGGCGCCCAGGCATACTGACAACTGTGCTCTAGTCAGACTCCTCCGGATATACATACATGTCTATCACTTCATAAAAAAGCTCAGGGTCTAATGGATATGCCGTCTGGCTCAGGGTTACGTTTCGCATTATTTTCGCGAATTGTGCCGCACTGAATGTCACATTATACGCAGCTGCTGAACCCGCCTCAAACAAATGATCAAATGACATAGCTCCCACATGCAATATAATGCCAAAGCAGAAAGCAGCATACATCTGCAAGCATCAAGGATGTCTACTCTTACAGATGATTCGTCAAACAGACTATCCGCCTTATAAATGATTTCTCCAAGACGATCCTATTCATCTAACCCCAGGGCGTACAAAAACACGGGATGCACAGCAGTTAGGGGAAGTGCCGGTGGCCGTCCGACCTGAGTGCGGCTGGCCGGCCGGGTACAGCTCGTGACGCAGGCTCTCGGCCGTCTGGATGGCCGCCGTGGACGTGGCGTTCCCCATCGCTGCTCTCTCTCGGCTGAAACACGAACGGGGCGTTAGCAGTGAAGGGGAGGTACCGGGAACAGTGGGCGGACGGTATCGGCTGGCGGACTGCACCCCTGTGCAAAAGGGTACCGGGGCATCGACGTGACGGTACAGGGGTACAGGTCTCGTGGGTTTTAACGGTAGGTTTTGCACCTAGAAAATTTAGTGTACTTCAGGCTATATCTTCGTCGTCTTAAGCTTTTAAGTGTTGAAGATGCAATCGACTTGTTGGTCCACAAGCCGGCCATGATCGTGTAAAATGGCTTCATCGTAGATCCATTAGTTTCTGAGATAGTGATGAATGATTCACTGAGCAGGCTTTGTGTGACGTTTAAAAAACTATGAAATGATTGTTTACTTCAGACCTGACGATGTGCTATGCACGAAACAGTTGTCTCATTTTCTTGGCCCTATTTTGAATACAATTATTAGCATGAGGCTTAGGGTTTTCATTGCATTTATATATAGTTTCTGAGATATATCGGAAATGTAAAAGTGCAAGACCTACCGCTTAATCTCGCGAGAGCCGTACCATGGGAGGGCGGTAGAGGGGCTCAGCGAAGGCGAGTGTGATCAAACAATTAATAAAATATTACAGCGGTGCGGAAACCTGAAATGAAATGAAAATATGCTTCACTTGCAGGTGGAATGGCGGTGTCTCATGCAGAGTCAATGTTACACTTTGGAGCTGGACGCTGCCGCGAAATGCTCAACACAAAAGGGCGCTCAGTGAATGCTCTTATCACCAGTCGGTAACGATAGCTACGTACATACAGCTATACACTATTTCACAATCACAATGTCACAACGCGGGAGTGGGAGCTGCGACGTGCAGCATGGTGGATTGGACAGTTGGAGAGCCCGCCTTAGCACAATCAGCTGGTCCATGTGGCCGCGATGACTGACTGCTGGGACGGTGCACTGCTAAACAGATTGACCCTATTTTATTTTCTGATGAGACTAGGAAACGTTGACAGAAGCAATAAACTAATCGAAGAGAGACCTTTCCAACTCTTAATTCGTTTATTGGCACCCATTACATTATCATAATTCATAACCAGCTTGACAGAAAAATCACAAAACATTAGGCGGCTATATACGATAAGTAGAATGAAAGAAAACCACATCTACAAATAACGTGTATCGAATATACATATTCCCAAACATGCACATGTTGCATGCAATCAGACGGGTGCTAATGATTAAATAAACACTAATTCGTTCTGTCGGTCCCATTCCCACTAACACTAAATTCCCATAACTAAGTGCAGCTAGCATACGATTCATACCATCTTGTGTTTAAAAATTGTTCGGATGCTCTTTTCATGCTATTCACAGCTAGGCCAAGTTGGATCATTAAAACATGACTATCCCCGCCAGGAAGTAGTAATGCCAGTCACAGGTAAATCGGGCAAGCCAGCTCAAGCAGTATACAGCGGCATCCCAAACATGTCAAAGTCCAAGTGAGTAGTGACTTTACACATTCATCACTCAGTCGAGGGACACCCAACTCAGTGAGTCTTTGTTGAGTATTGGCCAAAGCATCCGATAAAGCGCATCCATCCTCCAGGCATCATAGCGGCTGTCTTCCGCCGCCGCTGCCGCTTCAACCCTCCCCGAAAATAGTAACAAGTACCGAGAACAGTTATACGTTCCTGTTGAGTCGAAAAAGCTTGCCAAACCGTGAAGCCGTACAACTACAGTCAACAGCTTTTTTGGATATCAAATAATTAACCATTTGAAATATGCACCAATACACTCATTTGCAATAGCTATGCCACCTGGGACTCCAAGAAAATCCTTATATTCCAATAGGAGATCAGAATTTAGCTCACTAGAGGTCGAGGAGGCGATAGAGTGGTAACTTTACAAGGCGCACTAGAATAACACTTGACATTTATCGTTGACTGAGGAAGGCAATTGAAAAGAGCGCAAAATCATAGCATTCTGACTTGGTTTTCATCATTATTATTATTTCAGAGGATTATGTAGCTTACATCACCCCTGTTAACGATTTCTCAGTATCACAAGAGCATTTAACATCTCTTTCAAGCTGAGGCTTTACGCTCCCAGTTAAAAACTAACTGCCAGTAAATCATTGTCTATCTCTCCCTCCTATCCCCAATAAGTAGCAAATAATCTAATTGTTACAGGCTTACAAATTTACGGCACACTCAGAGGCTAGCGAAGGAGCCAATTAACGCTATCAATCCACTTCCGCTGGTGCCGAGCTGTGCCCCAGTTCAGGCGCCATCATCCAGGTGTTCCAGGTCGTGACCCAGGTCGGCCCGCAGCTGGCTCCAGGCGCGCTCCACCTGCTGCTGGGTGACCTCCGGCTCCCAGAGGGTGCTGATCACCACGGTGGCGGCCGCCACGCGCTCCTCGTTGGACATCTGCGCGTCGAGCCGGCGCGCGGCCGCCTGTTCGCTAATACCGTCGCGGCGGACGGCGCGGCGGAGCGCCTCGTCTCGCGGCACCAGCGCCACCCACACGTCGTCACACAGCTGGGCGTCCCAGCCGGCCTCCAGCAGCACGGCCGCGTCCAGCACGGCCACCTGGCCGGCGCCCAGCGCCGCCAGCCGCCGCTCGGCCAGCCGCGCGATCTCGGGCCACACGCAGTCGGTGAGCCGCCGCAGCGCCGCCGGGTCACCGAACACCTGCGCGCCCAGCCGCTGCCGGTCGATCCGGCCGTCCGCAGCCACGATGTCCTCCCCGAAGAGCTGCCGCAGCTGCGCATGGCACGGCGTGTCGGGGGCGTACGCCGCGTGTCCGAGCTTGTCGCAGTCGATGACGTGCGCGCCGAGACCGGCTAGCCGACGGGCCACCGAAGACTTGCCGCTGGCGGCCGAGCCCGTCAGACCGATGACGTAGGGACCACCGGCGCGGCGCGGCACGCCCAGTCGCGGCCGGCGGGCCGTGCCCAGCCGCCGCATGCGCAGTGTGCTGGAGCTGATCTTGGGCTCCTCGGCCGTCTGTCGGTCGGGCGCAGCCAGCAGCGGCACCGTGTACACGTCCATGGGCGGCAGCTGGCGGCGGCGGCGCTCGTCGGCCACCATCTGGGCGCCGCGCCGCGTCTCCTCGCTGACCACCAGCAGCTGCAGGTCGGCCTCGGTGGCCGTCGGTCCCAGCGGGTCCGTGATGGGCACCACGCGCGGGCGCACCGTGCAGTCCAGGTCGGCCAGCAGGTCCGTCACCAGCTGCACGCGCTCCAGACAGGGCGCCATCAGCTCCTTCAGCGTCTTCTTGTTGTTCATCTGTCCGTCGGTGACGCCGACCGTCAGCTCCTGGCGGCAGCGCATCAGGCCAGCCGTCAGCAGCACCTTGTGGCCGTTGTGGATGCCGTCGAAGGTTCCTCCGAGCGCCACCTTGTCATACACGGCGTCGGCCGCCAGCGCGTTGTCCGGCTCGGCCTGGGCGCCCAGCCAGCGGTCGGGCAGCTCGTCGGGCGCGGCGCACAGGCCGGCCGTCTCGGCGGCCAGCGGCTCGCCGGTCTGCAGCGCGATCGTCTGCAGGTGGTGGCCGCGGCGCGACACCTGTCCGGCGGCGAACTGCTCGGCGCCGGCGCACGGCCGCTCCAGCAGCAGCACGTCCACGGCGGCGGCCGTCTGGGCGCGCAGCTGGCGCCGCTTCAGGTGGCTCAGCAGCACGCGCACGTCCAGCTGGGGACAGGCGCGCGCCGACTCGGCGTACAGCCGACACACCACGTCCCAGTAGAGCAGCGGTCGGTAGGCGGGCAGCGCGGCGGCGGCCGCCAGCGACTGCTGGCCGGGCAGCAGCTGCACGTACAGCCGGCCGCTGACGCAGCGCGCCGCGCTGGTCAGCAGCTGCTGCAGCTGCGGCGCCAGCTGCCCCAGCGACGACGTCAGCACCAGCAGGCCGGTGGTGAACATGGTCGGCCACGCTGCGGCAGAGAGCGGCCGTCAGTAAGGCTGGCAGTGGCTCTCTGCCGAGCGACTGGCCGACCGCGCCACACACACCGACACTGCTGGCACGCGCTCAAAACCAGCCGCCACCACAACCCGCGCCGGGCCGGGGGGGGGGGGGTGTTTGAACACCCTCCCTTGCGGTTTTTCGCAGATATCTCAAAAACGCCGGCGCGGAGAGCCGCCGTTTTTGGCACACCTGTTTGTGCATCTTTTCCGCACATGTTGTGAAAATTTCAGACCCAGGTCACCTTAGGTCAGGTCACCAGGTCACGCCAAGTGACCTCACCTCAGAAAAAATAAGAATAATGCTCGCCATAGCTACACTGACTGAACGATTGCCTTGAAACTTTCAGCGATTGATTAGAGCAACACCATCTATAAAATGTATATCTCGGAATTTTGATATCGATGACCTAAGGTCAGGTCAATTTTGCGGCCTCTCCATTATAAGTCAATGGGAGAAAATTGAAAAGCGTCTGTTTTGCACGAACGCTATTCTAGACACTCTCAAACATCGAGATGTAGGTAAAATAGACACACTGAACCAGAAAATGGCAACTGTGACCCCTCGTTATGTCCCCGAGGTCATCTCAGGTCACGAACAGAATCTAACAGTTTTTCGATGATAACTTCTGATAGAGGCGTGCTAGAGCGCTGAAAACGCCTTAGATGCGTTCGGCTCGACGTTGCGGATCGACTGATATGCAACATGACCTTTTCCGGTCAGGTCATGACCTTGACCTGAGGTCAAATTTTCAAGTTGACCTCTCAATGTTAAATTATAGTTCATTCGACGCGTCTCGACGAGAGGAACACGATGCTGGCAAAAGTAATGTCATAGCTCTTTTGAGTCAAAAGTTATTGCCGAAAAAAAACGTTTTTCGTAAAAACGGCTATTTTTGGAGTTTATGCCCTCTGGAGGCTAAACCGTTGACCTGAGGTCAAATCCGAGAACATTACTCAGAAAGGTCTGTAAAAGGGCTATCGAATGCGCTTTTTTGCGGCGCTGTAGCTCTATCGGTTCCCGAGATAGCCGTTGGCAGTTTCCAAAATGTTGAAATAGTCAACATTTTACCTTTGGTGACCTCTGGTGACCTGACCTTTGACCTGACCCAAAAAATGACTGAAGTGTTTTCGTCCTTATTTTTGACGTTCTTTCGATTGCCGCTTACCGCGTGTCGCTACGTGGCCCAGGAACCGAGTTAGAAGGGGGTGTTCAGACACCCCCCGCGGCCCGGCGCGGAATCTCAGAGCACCAGCCCGGCGCGGATTAACAAAGTAGACGGCTTGTGTGGCACCAAAATGGGTATTAGTAGAGCAGACGTCACACGAAGGTTTTCCAACCAAGGAGAGGCGCCATACCCAGTGGTGCTTCTTTCTAGGAAAACCTAAACAAACCTAACCTGACCTAACCTAACCTACAACCTACAAACCTACAAACCTACCCTACAAACCAACAAACCTACCCTACAACCTACAAACCTACAGCGCCTCTCCTCGGTTGGAAAACCTTCGTGTGACGTCTGCTCTACTAATGCCCCAAAATGCAAGTTTGTTTTTCGGGTAAAAAAAAACTATTATGGTAAAAGTATACATTGAGTCCGAGTGACTGTTAAAAGATCATATTCTTACATTACTTGACATCCTGAATCCAAAAATGATACTTATATGTCTTGGAAATAAAAGGAAAACATAATCAAACCTGACCTAACCTTACCTATTTACCTACAAACCTACAACCTACAAACCTACCAACCTAAAGCCAAGGCTATATAAACCAGGTAGAACGCTCCCGACGAAAAAGTGGTGACAAGCGATAATTAGTAGCCGCGACCCTCTTTTGTTCAAAACTATATCCGCAAGCAGCATTTACAGGCTAGCGGAAATCGACCAATCGGCGTTCGGCAATACTCAACGCTGATTGGCCCGATGCTCGTGACGAAATTGCGGGGGACTGCAGCTATTCCCCTATGGCGTTTAATAGACTTACGGCTTTTGAAGGGGATTTGTACCAGTTTTTGTTGGGTTTGAGGCCATTTTTGAGCTTGGATATTCTTTCTGTGACTTTTGACTGTGTAATAACGACATTTAATCATAACATTTCTATATACTACCGGTGTCACACATCGACCAAAAAGACCGTAAGTACATGGGATAGACGGACCACTGCTGATGGGGCCACACATGCCGGCGTGTGGTCATCGGAGGCCCATGAGGGCTCGACATAGGCCCTTCATGGGTCGGTATAGGCCCGGTGGGTCCAGTGCAAGCCTATCAGGGGCCGGTGCTGACCCAACAGGGCCCAGTGACATATAATGTAAGGCCGTCTAGGGACGTTGAGGGCTCATGGGGGCCATATAGGACCAATAGGGACCACATAAGCCAATCAGGGGCCATTTAGGCCAATAAAGGCACTTCAAGGGACTTGAAAAGGTCATTCAAGAGCTGTGGTGGGCCCATGAGAGGACGGCACTGGTCCAGCAGGTGCAGTCAGGGGATGTTGTACGGGTTTCTCAGTGGCCCATTTGGGCATATCAGTGACCAATTTAGACCCAGCAGTGGGCTTTGTAGACCTATCAGGGGCTGGTGATGGTTCATCAGGGGCCAGCGTTAGTCCATCGGGGCACGGCATATGCCCATCAGAGGTAATTGCGAGCCCACGCTGAACAATGCTGGCCCTTCAACGGCCCCATGGATCTACATTGACCCATGGGCCATGATGTGTCATGTATGCCCCTATGACAGGCCTACTCAGACCCCTGATGGACGTTCCCGGCCTCTGATGACCCTATGCTGAATGCAATTTAGACCCAGCAGTGGGCTTTGTAGACCTATCAGGGGCTGGTGATGGTTCATCAGGGGCCAGCGTTAGTCCATCGGGGCACGGCATATGCCCATCAGAGGTAATTGCGAGCCCACGCTGAACAATGCTGGCCCTTCAACGGCCCCATGGATCTACATTGACCCATGGGCCATGATGTGTCATGTATGCCCCTATGACAGGCCTACTCAGACCCCTGATGGACGTTCCCGGCCTCTGATGACCCTATGCTGAATGCTGATGGGGCTCTAAGAGTCTCCAATAACCCTTCGTCACCCCATTATTACCATACGCTGGCATTAGGGACCCCACATCAGCCGCAGGGCAGTCCGTACCATGACAGCATGTCTTTTCGGCCGATATTTCATCGGTAATATTTATCAAAATCATGATTTTATGGTGCCATTATATAGGTAACAGTCATAAGAAATATATTTCAACTCGAAAACAGCTCGAAACAGCATATAATTTTAAAGAAACCCCTCCGAAATCCAAAAGCCTATTCGGGTCCATAGAGAATAACTGCGGTCCCCCGCAATTTCGTCACGAGCGTCGGACCAATCAGCGTCGAGTACCGCCGAGCGCTGATTGGTGAATTTTCCGCTAGCGTGTAAGTACTGCTCACGGAACAAGAGTTCGTCGACAATCCTCCACAAACGTCTGTCACCATTTTTCATAATGCTTAACAGCCGGAGCGTACCCCCCTGCCTAAAGCCTACAACCTAACCTAACCTAAAACCTACAAACCTACAACCTAACCTAAAACCTAAATTTTTTGTTGTTACATATTTGTATCAACAGCGTCACAATTGTCCACTCGGACCAAATATATACTAATACCAATGAACACAATGATAATGCCAATCTAGAATGCGGTGTCTCGCACGTCTTGCTGTTACAATTTTCAGAGATGGATAGCATAGCATTTTCGTTATTCTCAGTTTCAGTTTGTCCAAAAAGAATACCTACCACACCGTTTGCAGAGAGCTGTACATCTTTAAAAAACTGTTACCTACAGAATATAATAATTTCAATTTACAACTTACAAGAACTGGAAATAATATTAATAAAAAGTGCCACAACTTGTCGCGGTCTCAAAATGCGTGCCCTCCATTTCAATTCCCTCCCCCGATGGTCCACCGACTTCAATTACCTTGCGTTTATGAAGTCGTAGGCTCGTAGCGTTTATATCAATATAGCCTGATTCCAGGACAAATCTTCGTATGGCATTTCTTCGTCGCGCAATTCTTCGTCCGCATTTCTTCGTCCGCAAATCTTCGTCGGCGCATTTATTCGTGTCGCATTACTTCGTCTCGCATTTCTTCGTAGGTGCAAAAATTCGTAGCGCATTTCTTCGTATCCGCATTTCTTCGTCGGCGCATTTCTTCGTCAAGCATTTTTTCGTCTACGCATTTCTTCGTCTACGCAAATCTTCGTCCGCATTTCTTCGTCCACGCAAATCTTCGTCTGCGCAAATCTTCGTCCGCAAATCTTCGTCTCCGCAAATCTTCGTCCGCAAATCTTCGTCCGCATTTTTTCGTCCACGCATTTCTTCGTCTACGCAAATCTTCGTCCGCATTTCTTCGTCCACGCAAATCTTCGTCCCCGCAAATCTTCGTCCGCAAATCTTCGTCCGCAAATCTTCGTCCGCAAATCTTCGTCCGCAAATCTTCGTCCGCAAATATTCGTCCGCACTTTTCGTCCACGCATTTCTTCGTCCAATCAAACCTTCGTCCGCAAATCTTTGTCTGCGCTATCTTCGTCTCCGCAAACATTCGTCCACAAATGTGGTTCAATAAAACCATGAAGAAATATCAGACAGTCAAGTGAATGACGAATTTAATGCATGGAATGGATGATCGAAACCTTTGAAGTCAGGTAGATGAGGTCAGTCAGGTGAAGCTATTGTATTTGGGAGCCGACAATTGTAACATTCCATATCATTTGTGTCCCGGACATTCTTTTTTGCGGTCGTTGAATGACAATATAATCTCTTGTACCCTCGCCGGCATAGGCGGCGGAACGGGGAGGGCACCGGGGCACCGTTCCCCTCTTTAATTTTGGCCTTTTAACAGTAGCCCTATGGGCGTTGCATGGAAAGCATATTGGACCAAAAGTCGGCAGTGCCGTGCCCCCCCCCCCTTAATTGAAGATGTTCCGCCGCTACTGGCGCCCGCCGGACCTATTTGTTTTCTACGGTACACGCCGGCCGAGGGGGCGGGTACGACCCCCCCCCCCCCCCCCATCGCCGTTTCGCCACTGATGGAGCTAGCGCGTCGCGGAAAAAACGAGCGTGTGCGCCGTTACGAGCCGCAGAGATTAATACCCGATTTTAAGGCCTTCTAGGTCAGTGGTCGGCATACGGCCCGCGGGCCGGATCCGGCCAGGTGGGTGACGGTTGGATCCGGCCCGCGACCATCTGACGTCCGTCCGGCCCGCGGCTGGTATCAGCGACTTACATCGTGTTCCGGCCCGCGGTTCCTTCATAAATCGACTCCGATATAAAAGTGACTCAAATGTGCTTTGGCACAACAGTTCTTCCTTTGCACACTTCATGAGTTTATAAACACCATTTGCGGGTGTTTTTGTCTAATTCTACTTCTAGACAAAACTTGCAACGGTAAGATTTGGTCAGCAGCTTTTGCGCGCAGCATCAACGACTGCTGGCTGCGTGCACTTGGCGGCTTCACGTGGTCTACTCGCTTAACCTTCCAGGCGGTGTGTGTGTGTGGGGGGGGGGGCGGGCCGGAACACGTTGTAAGTCGCTGATACCAGCCGCGGGCCGGACGTCAGATGGTCGCGGGCCGGATCCAACCGTCACCCACCTGGCCGGATCCGGCCCGCGGGCCGCATGCCGACCCCTGACCTAGAAGGCCTTAAAATCGGGTATTAATCTCTGCGGCTCGTAACGGCGCACACGCTCGTTTTTTTTCCGCGACGCGCTAGCTCCACCAGTAGCGAAACGGCGATGGGGGGGGGGGGGTCGCACCCGCCCCCTCGGCCGGCGTGTACCGTAGAAAACAAATAGGTCCGGCGGGCGCCAGTAGCGGCGGAACATCTTCAATTAAGGGGGAGGGGGCACGGCACTGCCGAGTTTTGGTCCAATATGCTTTCCATGCAACGCCCATAGGGCTACTGTTAAAAGGCCAAAATTAAAGAGGGGAACGGTGCCCCGGTGCCCTCCCCGTTCCGCCGCCTATGCCGGCGAGGGTACAAGAGATTATATTGTCATTCAACGACCGCAAAAAAAGAATGTCCGGGACACAAATGATATGGAATGTTACAATTGTCGGCTCCCAAATACAATAGCTTCACCTGACTGACCTCATCTACCTGACTTCAAAAGTTTCGATCATCCATTCCATGCATTAAATTCGTCATTCACTTGACTGTCTGATATTGTTTCATGGTTTTATTGAACCACATTTGTGGACGAATGTTTGCGGAGACGAAGATAGCGCAGACAAAGATTTGCGGACGAAGATTTGATTGGACGAAGAAATGCGTGGACGAATATTTGCGGACGAAGATTTGCGGACGAAGATTTGCGGACGAAGATTTGCGGACGAAGATTTGCGGACGAAGATTTGCGGGGACGAAGATTTGCGTGGACGAAGAAATGCGGACGAAGATTTGCGTAGACGAAGAAATGCGTGGACGAAAAAATGCGGACGAAGATTTGCGGACGAAGATTTGCGGGGACGAAGATTTGCGGACGAAGATTTGCGCAGACGAAGATTTGCGTGGACGAAGAAATGCGGACGAAGATTTGCGTAGACGAAGAAATGCGTGGACGAAAAAATGCTTGACGAAGAAATGCGCCGACGAAGAAATGCGGATACGAAGAAATGCGCTACGAATTTTTGCACCTACGAAGAAATGCGAGACGAAGTAATGCGACACGAATAAATGCGCCGACGAAGATTTGCGGACGAAGAAATGCGGACGAAATATTGCGCGACGAAGAAATGCCATACGAAGATTTGTCCGGTTACGATATAGCCTTGGTCGTAAGTCTTGGTCGGGGTTTATCATGAAAAATCTCTTGTTGGCCTTGCTCTTGTTTACGTAACGACGCTTTTGACCAGTGTTGCCGCGGCCAGATTTTACAGCGTACCAGGATCGCATCCAAATCGTACCAGATTGGCTGTTTCTGGCTCTGTACCGTACCAGATCGTTGTAGGTCAAAATATTTTTAATTTAGTACTATAAAAATTGCCATAATTTCGGTATGTTCATGCCAGTAAGTAATGTATGACCCATTGACCCGGTAATTCACCCATTCATCTCCCCGCCTCGCCCGTTAAAGACAGAAAGGCACTCTTCTGAAAGCCCGAATTGTATTCCTTTAATCGGACCTCCCTCCAACGGGCAGCTTCGTCCCATTTACAGGAGAGCTCATGCTCCTCCTGGTCCTGCTCCCCTTCCCCCAGGCTACGGCTGAAGTGGGAGCCTACCCCACACCCGGTGACGCAGCCGGGGACGACGCCCCGCGGAACGGGAGGAACCGGGGATCGAACCCGGCACCCCCCACACCGCGGGACGACGCCAATTAACCGACTGCGCCACCGGGGCCGCCGGCGCCATATACCTAAAATTGGCCTAAACATAGAAAAATCATAGTCACCGTGGAAAAATCGAAATCCTGCCTTCGAGAGGGGGCACTCCTGGGGGGGGGGGGGGCACTCCAGTTGAGACTGGCGAATGGCGATTGCACCCATGGGATCCTAACTTGCAATGAAGGAGTGAAAATTGCCACAACCACAGTAATATGCCAGTGAGAATGGAAAATTGTTTTTGTTGGGTGTCATTTAGTTTTCTAACCAAGTCGCACAATCTTGGACACTGATTCAATTAAGATTCTTTCCTTAGCTATTTGACCGTCGACGCATTGGCCTTGGACACAATTCAACTGCCTCAGCTCCTGCAGCTGGCGGACCGTCCTTGGCAGCCGGCGTGGCGCGCGAATTTTTCACTTGTTTAGGTACTTCTGCTATCACACAACCGGAATAGGTATTAATAATTCCGAATCAGATGCATGACAAGTTATGATAAGAAACACCATCCTTCCTGACTTGAAGAATTGTTAAGAAATATTAAAATGCCAAAAAATGCATTTCGGCGACAAAGTACCAGATTTCGTTCCGGCGTACCTCCGTACCAGAAAGGTCGAAAAAGTACCAGATCTGGTACTAAAGTACCAGGACGGCAACACTGCTTTTGACCAATTTTGACGCGTTACGCCGGCCCGCACTATTTTCTGAACGAATCGGCAGCTGGCGCCGTATGGTGGCGCCAGCAGAGCTTGTTATATGTCAAGGCCAGATACGAATAACTAAATACCTATCTTTTAATTTTTCTATAAGTGCCATTTTATGTGTTCTTGTCCATCTACTACCGTGTTTATATCAATAACTAACATAGCTAATTGGCCAGCAGCTGATTTTATCCAGCGCACCGCATTTCGAAGCGTATTTGGAAATTTCGGGTGAGACTAAATGCTTACTTCGAAATCTAAGCTGCGTTGCGGCATTGGCGGTTATGTGCGACGTGTATGCCGCATGATTAGTAAGCGGCGCCCACTAAATTAAAAACTCAATAGCTTTGACCTCTTTTCAATGGATACCTAACACTGCATACCAAAAATGTCCATCGCTCTCGTCATAGGATATTGAGATTTAAATAACTAACTTATCTACATCATCGTTTTGAACCAAATTAATACTTTCAACTTGACCCTCGCCCGTATTGGTGTTTTCCAGCCGCGAACGTAGGGTAGCCTGGGGCAAGACGCCCCAGATAATTTATTTTGCTACATAACTTTTGTCCCACATCACCTGGAAGGCCCAATTTGTGCTCAATGCGTTCTTTGGACATTTAACTTTAAATTCCACCCCTAAAATTCATTCACTTATGATCGGACTCCTAGCTAGGAAGTGATTTGTGAAGCAACTGCAAATGGGGCATTTTGCCCCAACCCCAGGGCAAAACGCCCCACGGCCTGGGGCAAGAAGCCCCATACTCTAGATTAAAGATTTAACATGCTAGTTGACTTAAATCTTATATGAGAGGTCTGTTCTTGGGAAGCACGGCACTGAAGTTAGCTCCTTCCATCCTA